CTTAGAAAACGTAAGAGACTTTACTCAATCTATCTCCTCTTGATAGGATCAAGTCCTCTTGATTGAGGAAGAATACTATGAATTTCAAGACCTCCACTTCCTAGAAGTTGAAGAAGAACTATCTCTCAAGATCCCCATCTTTCCTAGAGATTTGGGGAAAAACTACCCTTGCTTACCTTTATTTCCTTCGTTGTTCTTGGATCTAGGATGCACCTTTTAGATTGACTTGGATTTTGAGGAGTAATTGGTGCAGATCTTGTCCTGCGAGTGATTTTTCTCTTGTGTTCCCTTTATTTTGCCTTGATCCTTGTGTTACTTCTCAAATCCAGTTCCAATTCATGAAGATTGAGCCACCCTAGCGGCTTGCCACATATAATTTGGTATCATGAGCAAGGATGCTATGAATTAGATCCCCTCCATCTCCATTTTCAAGCCTCATTTTGAATTTTGCTTACCTATTTGGAAAATCTACACAAAAATAGCCATGCCCAATTTTGAGCAATTTAATACGTGGATCCAATTTTGTGCAAGTGGATCTACCACAATTTGCGTTACTTCCGCCGAAATTTTTTTCTTTTACACGTCGGTTACAAGTTCAAAACCTGTCGCCTCCGGATGTCAGGTACCCCAACCCCCGGACATTCGACCAACCATGGAAATCCAGAATAGCACCAAAAACCCAACCACCCCGAAGATCCGACCCTTGCAGATCACTTTGGCATCTTTGCCAACACTCCAAGGCCATGTGTACCGCTACATCAATCCAAGTTCGCCTTTGACGACGATCATCCCTCAAACACATACACCGGAAGCAAGACTGTCACTCTTCTCGTGGTACAGGAGTCGACGAGGTATATGTTCCATCACACAAACCTTACCTTCCTTGCCATTACCCTTGAGAGCCATTCGATCCTTTGTGATACATTTAGAACAGTAAAACTGAGCCTATTCCCAGCCTTCTCACGCTATTAGCCGTGTAAGCCGTTGGATATCGTATCGTGCATGTGTCGTTCTCAGCCACTCGATGTGCCATTAGGCTCCACGTTTTCCACTCCGTGGGCTGGCTGTCCTAAGAGGACACTACTCCGGAAGAAATTTCTGACGCTTGTGATTGATTGGGCCTCTCCGGCACGAAGCCCATCTTAGCTTCACGAAGGAAGCCTTCAGTCAGTCAACGCCTAGGCATAAGGCGATTCCAGCGTGTAGAAACTGTAATTTACCTATCGAGACTAGCTATTTGAGAATTGTCGGGCCTCTTAACTTGTGCAGCTTAGTGATCACTTGTGCATCATATCGTGTTATAGTTACTCTGCGCATTATCTCAATGCAAGGAACGTCATGAGCTACAACGAAGGGCACATGCACCTTGCATTGAGCGCACTCGACAAGACGACAACAAGAAGAAAACCCACCGCCTCGATGACAAGAACAACATCAAACTCGCAATCGTCAAGAGGAGGGGAACGTTTTGGCAAGCTCAAGTTCGCGATTGCTAAGTTTTCCGGCGCCATAAACACCGAGGATTACATCTCTTCGGCACTCAAGGTTAACAAGATCTTTCGAGTCCACAACTATGAAGAGCCAAAGAAGATTGCCATGACCCCCCCCCCCCTCGAGTTCGACGACTATGCGCTCATACGATGGGACCAAATACAAGAACTTCAACAAGAGCAAGGAGATTCTCCCATTGCTACTTGGGATGACATGAAGCAAGTCATGAGAGCGAGATTTGTGGCATCCTCAAGCAAGGAACAAAGATCGTCGAAGAGTACTACAAGGAGATGGAAATCGCAATGATTCATGCTAATGTCAAGGAGTCCGATGAGCAAACGATGGCGCAATTCCTCAATAGACTCAACCCCCAATCAAGCAGACTTGTGGATTTTCAACCCTACACAACTTTGCTTGAGTTGGTTCATCAAGCAACAACTTCAAGATGACATCAAGAAGTACTACAAGTACTAGGCATACACTTCAAGGAACTTCACCATCAACTTTCAAATTACTTGAAGCATGGTGCCATACCAACAAGCTACACCCACTAGTGGTGCTAATACAAGTTCAAAGTGATGTGGAGCATCCCATAGGCACATGCATCTTCCACATCATACATATAAAGGTGAATCTTCTCCTTTACACGTGTCTACTTGACCCCTTCAAGGATGGTATACTACTTGACCCTCCTTCCTCATGCATGCATCACTCACATTGTGCAGCAAGCGTGTTTGTTCATGCACGCGCTGCCCGAGCCCCATCTTCATTGTGGTATGTGCACAGCACAGCTCACTAAGGTCTCCAACTCCGCCGTACGAACTTGTGGTGCACTCCGACGGTGACTGGGTCAGGTGCACTCGTTCGACGTCGGGACTCCGTGCCCCCCCCCGACTCCAAGGACGGCATCGCCTTCCATGTCCTGATGTCTTGTGCACACACTTCCCCAAGCCTTCCAATGTCCCATCCCTCGCCGGTATCCCACCATTTCCCGGTTCTTGCTCGACACCATACATGCTTTGTTTCTCTCATGAAGCATCCTTGATGACCATGTGTTTAGTTTAGAAAAAGAAACAGAAAATGGGTAATAAAAAAGGTACAGCGGCACCAATCCTCGTCTCTCTCGTTGTCGGCGATTCTTGATTTCTTACAATGGTCATTTCACAGACACGTCTCACACATGCACCTCGCATCGGTGTTGGGTACTGATCGGCATTTCACTTGCAAGGCCTCCTCCCAAGCCGAGCCTTCCCTGTAGACACAATGGCTCGTGTATCACTGTCTCCTAAGTGCTTTCTAGCTTCAAGCTTTCTACTTTCCATTGTGTCCACAAAATTTGTTGCTCTCTCGTGTTTACTATGTCATGTGTGTCCACCATACATTTATATGTCAGCCTTCTTCTAGCATTGGCCCTTTCTGTACAATTTTTGCGGCCTTTCTTGTCGTGGTTGTCTTTGTACGATTTATGTAGCCTCCTTTTGCATTGTTGTTGATCTACACCCCTTTCTTGCCCCCAAGCTTCTTGCGCCACCGGTTTCTTTTGCTATGATCTTTGCAACATGCTTCTTCTATCCCTTTTTGGCTTGACTCAACATGTTTCTAAAAACTCCATGTTACTATGATACTCTCAAGACGTGAATTTTGGGATTTCGCTATTTATCTTAGTCTTATACTTATTCAAATGAAATGATTTGTGTACGCTTTGCATTTGAGAGGGGGGTGTTAAGGACTACTTGCGGACGTTCAAGAATCAACTTTCGACTAAGGGTATCGTTAGAAGTGTGATTGGGAATGAGTAGGCAGGGGTGCGTACGGCGGCCTTATAGTGAAGGTCGCCGTACACTCGACTCAACGATATTTTTAAATAGGTTTGGTCGCCTCGTGGGAGCACAACCAACATCCTATGGAAGGGTCGTCAAGAGTGGTGCCCGCTGCACAGAACACTTGTGCCGCCACGACTCCCAACTAGTCCGCACCTGGTCCCTTGGACTCCAGATCTTGGTCTTCCTAACTCTTAAGAGAGCTAGTAGGGGAGAGTGACCCTCCTCTTGAGTTTTTTCAAGTGGGAGTGAGTGATTTACATGCCTATGGAGGGCCTTGTATAGCCTAGGGGTCCTTGACAAATGACCAAGGCTACTAGCTAATTTCCCCTCCTTTGGTCCCATATGCCTCTAGTTGGGGTTGGAGGTGGGTTGTAGCCCATTAGGGGAGAACCCCTAAACTACCCATCTTCGACTTTTTGGGATCTTCATTTGACTAGTTGACCATGAAGCGTTGGACTTTTGTTGGCCAGGGTGGCTTGCTTGGACCCATGAAGAGTTACTCTGACTTGTGTTGAATGCCCACATGGCATGTTACATAGGGTAGGGGTGGTGCCTTAAGAAGGGTCAGAGCCATTACTGCAACACTGCAACAGTACTAGTATCGGTCTAGGTGTCTATTAGCCTAGATTTCCTTCCTTGTACTCCAAGTCCATTGTATTTTATATTTACGCCTTGGGCTCTGCAATATAAGACAAGTTGCTCCTCTTAACAAAAACCATCTGACCTAGATAGTTTTTGGTTGACCTTGTGACCAAAGTTCGCTTTAACTGTCTCAGCATGTGCTTAAAGCTAAAAGACAGACGTGCCCTTGAAAAGATAAATTTTGAAAGCCAAATTCATGGGCATATTTGTCTTTTGAGAGCCATTAGAATATTCCATGTATATCATTTTGGATCTAACGGCTGGACATAAGAAATGTGAGTTTCAGGCAGTGGCTCAAACCTTGTCTTTCTTGGCGATAAGGTGACCCACACTCCTACGGGTTACAGCTCGACAATGGCAACGGCAATTATACAGACAAACCTGGCTGACCCGGATGGTTTGTGGTTGACATGGTGACCCAGGCTGGTGTTAACTGTCTCAGCAAGGTCACATGGTTAGATCTAAAAAGACACAAGTGCCCTCGAAAAGATAATTTTGAAGGCAAAATTCATGGGCATATTTGTCTTTTGAGAGCCATTAGGATATTCCTTCTGTCAGATATTCGGGCTTTAGGAGGTCGTTCAGACCTCGTATTTTTTGGCGACAAGGTGACCTGCACTCCTAAACCACCATGGTAAGGCTGCATTTGGCATTGAGATGGATTATGATAATCCAGATTTTCCTATTTTTTCTATTTGGCTAACCATCTTTTTTCCTGCTTTCATGGCTACTTACCACCCAGAATTTATAAGGAAAGTTCAGTACAACATAGTTTAGTGCCAATAAACTAAGTCTAAATCTTAATAATCAATGAAAAATATGAACATTTTAGTAAAGTTTCAATAAACTTCGGAAAATCAAAAAATAATGAGGAAAATAAATTTGGAAACCAGTAATCATAAGCAGAAATGGAAAACATAAAACTGGTATAAATAAAAGGAAATTAAGAGAAGATAAATATCTAGATACATTTGATCTAATTCTTCATATAATTTACAACATTTTCATCTTTCCTAAGTTTATAGTCAAAACAGTGAAATGTTAAAAAAAAACTCATCACTGCAGATAATCCCATGAAGGGGAGCCTTGGCGCAGTGGTAAAGCTGCTGCCTTGTCACGGGTTCAAGTCCTGGAAACAGCCTCTTACAGAAATGTAGGGACAGGCTGCGTACTATAGACCCAAAGTGGTCGGACCCTTCCCCGGACCCTGCGCAAGCAGGAGCTACATGCACTGGGCTGCCCTTTTCTTTACTGCAGATAATCCCATGTTTTTGAAGATCCTTTCAATCCTGTGTTATTCCTATTCCTACGTTCTCGAATTTCTACAGTTCAGATAGGCCCTTAGAAGTGCTAGATAGATAGAACATGATTATCTCTCTAACAAACAACTGCTAATCTCTGCATGCACAAACCATAGCCTTTAGTTGCTAACATTCTACAGAAGTGTGAGCCTCCGCCATCATGTGTAGAACTAAGTTCTGATGGTGAACGGAGTCTGAGCAGCTATCATGCATATTAGAGGTAGAAACTAGTAAGATACAGAACTTTGACAGTGCAGAAGATTACTACGGCAAAAGAGATCTCACGCCAGACTAAAAGAACCATGTAATGAACAAATTTACCAGATTGAACCATGTAATGAACAAATTTACCAGATTGGTGACAATAGCTACTGTGTAAACAGAACAAGATAAAACTAAGAACCTTGAACTGGCAGTTCTTTGATGTTCATTAGCTTTCCTCCCACGGCGTCCACATAAGGCATTTGCAACATTTGGTTCACTATGTGATGAACTTGTAAACCATGAAATGGAAAAAATAAAAAGGTAATTCTGAAACGTGAACACTGAAAAAACAGAGCAAAGATGGAAGAGAATGTAGAAGGATGGAAGAAAATTGTTATATTTATTTGAGGCTTACCATCTCAATTTGCCCTCCATAGAGTTTGAAGTTCGGCGCATGATGTCTCTTAGGGACGGAACTTTAAATGACCTATTGTTTTCATCTTGCTCTTGCCTGAAAAGTGACATAAATTGCCAATAGTGCTTATCAGGAACAATATCAAGGCACTAGAAGGCTACAATTGTATAGTTCTAAGACTACAGATTTGATGTTTAGAAATATAGATTGTTCCTGGCAAACAAGACAATGATTTTAAGTTTGCACAGGTATTTCTATGCCCAAAGCTGAAGTCAAACAGAGCAGTATCATACTATCATATGTTGCTAATGCAGTATCAGCAATAATAAGATCCCTGCAAGGGACCAAACATAACCAGAACCAGAAACAGGTATATCAAAAAGGGAATACACAAGCATACCGTTGAGAGCACAAAGGACTATTCGGTTCAAGAGGAGAATCACAAGAATCATAGTCAGCAGAGTCACTCTCTCCAGCAGCAGATATATGGGATGTGATTATAGCTTTGGATGAGAATGGAATTAGTTGTCCTGGAAAACGCATTAGATCAACGAGAAACTCCATGGACTTCAGCATAACAACAACAGACATATGTTTGGGTGAGTCATCGCGTTCATGAGATTCTTCATCTGAAATGCCCTGCACATATTAAATAACATAGTAATGTAGGGTTCAGGAATTTCACGAGTGGGAAGAATCCTATTTCAAAGTGCAGACGCACTAATGAGAAGGTAATAGAACTTACCACCAACAGCTTAGAATCTATACCAACAGAGTCAGCAAGGACTTTAAATAAAATTGCTCTGGGCCGACAAGATCCATGTCGTATCTGCCCCAACAATTGAATTCCCTTGTTTTCCATGAAATGAAAAATTTCTTCAGAAGAAGTTCTTGCAGGGCTGAGCTGTGGGTTTGGTCGCTTATAGAAGTCACAAACCTGCAATTATCATTAAAAATTATGCTCGCACGGAAATACGTAAATAGTTTCACATCAGTACAGGCCGGAAGAAATGTAACTAAAGGCAGCCTTTTAAAATGTGTAATTAGAACCATATCTGTACAGGCTCGGAAAAACAAGAAAAAACAATCTATACTTCAGAAATGAGTTATTTTATACATCAAGCAGCAACTAAAATCCACGAAACACTTCAAGGAATAAATAGGTCAGTTAAAATGGTTGCAGAACAATAAATTGAACAGTTCCAAGTAGGAAGAGTTTTTGTAATTTATTTAAACAGCAATTGATCATAGAGAAATTGCAGCAAACGGTTTTTCTAAAGAAGAAAAGAAGATGGCATCATTGTCCCCCATTGCATAAAGGATCTCAGAGAGAACTTACCAAACCTGCAAGCTTTTTTATCATTGCGGCTGGGTTAGAACTCAATCCTTTTACCAGAGCTACACATAGCTGCCTTATCGCAGATAGCTTTTTATCCTTCTCCAAGTCCACAAGAATTATCTCAGCCTTGAAGCCCTCTATTCCAAGGGAATATAGATCATCAGGAGAAGGAATGGCGTCAAAACACTCCTTCAGTTTCTTATCCTGCAAAGTTCAGAATGATAATATAAAATAAATAAAGAAGTACAGAGAGAGTGCTAACAAATTGGTACCTCGAATAAGACCCACTTACCGGTATAATTGAGTAAAATCCATTGGGTATTGGACTCGATAGAAATCCAGTAGACCATAATTCCTGAGAAGCGCAAAATGAATGGTCACCTTTCATACAGTTAAGAGAAGAATCTGCCAAATCCGAATTGTGGTCCTGCTTAGCCAAGGAAATGGATTGGAACTTATGCTCTTCATGTGAGGACAGCCAATTTGCATCAGTAGAGTGTGTATCAGATTGCCCGTCACCATCTGGCAGATCATCCATCTCAAATATATGTTAAAATACAGTATCATTTTACGAATGTCATCATACAGATCAACCAGTCTGCAAACGAAAAAGTACAACAAATAGATTGAATTAGACGAGTGTTGACTCTTAGTGTGCATAAGCTAAAAAGAGATAGAATGTTGATTCTTGTATTTGGCCAGTAAAAAGGAAAGACCAGATACCAATAACACAGCTTCTATTATTTAAACTTCATTGGTTATACACACCCTACTTATGCAGCATGAGTTGCTGCATTTAGCTAGCAGTGTATATACACTATGGGCAGTATTTACCACGATATAAGTGATCCTAGTTTTCGTTTAGTGTTAGCTGTAATCCTTGTGCCTTTTGAGTTATTGGCGCATTAGCACAGGTCCGCTAGAACTTTCTTAGTCAGTAAGACAGTATATGCAGGTACACAGCGTAGTCAATTTGCCTATTACATGTACTAGCAGATGCCTTTTGCATATATGGGTCGGTTGCTAGCAATCGACTTGTCTATGTACTATATTTAGACCTCACAACAACAATACAAGCTCAACCTCCCTTGTTCAGCTCGCAGTTACCTAATTCGCAATTCGCTTGGTTCGCGGTTCAGGATTCGCTACATCTACCAAATCAGATTCGATGGGGGATACACATCTACGATTCACGAATCGTAGTTAGAGAAGGGGTTCGCGAACCCGGAGATTACGATTCGTCGCCTCTAGCATACAATGTATTTTTTTCTTTATATGGAGGGCTTCATTAGTTCATTGACCATCCATGGCAATCCCATCGATGAACATAGGGTTGTCGAGAAGTTTTTGTGTGTCATCCCTTCGGGGTATGTGTAGATTGCACCGTCAATCAAGACTATACTCCATACAACGAAGCTCTCAATTGAATAGGTGACAAGCCAGCTCAAGACTGCTTATGATCATTGTGAGTCGTAAACCAAGTTGGAGCAGCCGATCCTATCCAGCAGCAAGGCCTACATCTCTGAGGAGCAGTGACTCACCCAGATGAAGCAAAGGCAGGATGGAGAGGGAGCTCCAGGCCTCCCAACCAAAGGCGGGAGGGATAGGAAAGTTCCAAGCCTCCTAATTCACATTTACCCATTGGGTACCCCTACCACATCGACTGACACCACATACATCGCCCACGTCGGCGACCATTTCATCCTCTTTTGACAACTTTACGTGAAGCGAGGCAGGTCATTTTGATTTTGTCAAGGGTTCTGACTTGAGGTATCCATTCCAACATAAGCTTACTCTTCCCTTGACATTACCTTTGTGAGTCATTCGACCCCTTCACGACAAATTTGAGCCCATCGAGACTAGCTATTTGAATATTGCTGGGCCTCGTGGCCTTGAGCATAGTAGTGACATCTTGCACACCATTTGGTGCCTCATAGTTAATCTGTGCAATAAATATTGCTGGGCCTCGTGGCCTTGAGCATCGTAGTGACATCTTGCACACCATTTGGTGCCTCATAGTTAATCTGTGCAATATCTTGTGATAGTTTGTCTTGCATTTTTGGTCAAGTCTCAAAAAAAGTGGCAAAAGGAAGTAAAGTTCATACAATAAAGATACAGAACTTAAATAGGCAAAAGAGGAAGAGCAAAAGAGATATATGTGCCAGGTATACTTAATATAGAGATACACCCTGTGATATATATAACCAAAAGAGATACTTAATATCTTGCGATAGTTTGTCTTGCATTTTTGGTCAAGTCTCAAAGGAAGTGACAAATGCAAGTAAAGTTAAAACAATAAAGATAGAAAGCTTATAAGCAAAAAGATTAAGAGCAAAAGAGATATATGTGCCAGGTATATATAATATAGAGATACGTCAAGCATGCAAGTTTTGCAGATCTTTGCCCTATCATGAAATCAAGCTAGCCTATTTTCTTGTGTTTGTGTAACAAGAGCTTAGTCTTCGATAAGCCAATCATTCTTACATTTGTGATCAAATTGCATTACATTGAGTTCATTGTGGATATTTACCAATCTTTTCGATATCTTGGTCCACTTATTCCTTGATTTTGTTCCACTGACCTTACCAAGATCCACATATAGCCTTGTTGCGAGTGTGTAGGTGCGCAGACAAGGTTCTTTGCCAACTTATCTCTCATTTCCAACTGTCGATGGGGAGATCCTTTTTACTTTTCAACTTCATCGGAAAGAGGTGTTGGAAATATACCCTAGAGGCAATCATAGCAATGATTATATTTCATTGTATCCATGAATTATTAAATGTTCCATGAATAATGTCATTTGTGTTGATTGGCAAGTATGTGACTTGTTTGTGAAACTCTATACTTGAATGGTTATTCTAAAGTAATCCCTAGTGGGACTTAATGTGAGAACACATATGAATATTCGACTAGCACATGTATTGGTTGATGACCATGTTTCACACTACATGGACATGGAGATGTCGGACCAACAATGTGAAATGTTATGTGGGGTTGGATAAACCCAACTTGAGACATAGCGTGAATGTTAATTACCTCTTACAATGTGTGTTATGTCCTTAGATGTGAGACAGTCATATGTGTGGTGACTTACTTGGGAGTTGCCAAACACTACTTCATAATTGATTAGTTATAAAGTTTGCTTTCTTGTTTGTCATGAAACATACTTCAAGCCATGGCCGGTCGATATGGGATTTGCACATCTCTTCAATGAGAGAGATATCTCTAGGGTCATCGAGTGATCAGATCCAAAAATGCATGGTTGTGCTACTTGAGGTTAAGAATTAACCTAGCAATGAATTCCAAGTACACAACATTGTGTAGGTTCATTTGATATGATCTTTACGTATGTTTGGGAGTTGGCATATCCTGCTAGGGGTCGCTACCCTAGAGAGCCTCCACCTCAACTGTTGTTCGGAGTTGCCAGCACACCATACTTATGGGCTCCTTGGAGGTGTTGCTGCTGCGACGCTTGTATGATTGCTCAAGGGATTCACAAGGAGGAGACACGGTTCAACAACTATCCTTCCGCTAGGTGACTACGCGTCTACTGCTAATCCCATGACCTACAACCGCGGCATATTCTTGGGTGTTCGTGGTAGAATCTTTTATTTGCGATAGCATAGTGTATCATGTTTCTTGCAAGAGGTAACTTTGGTACAACTCATTTCCTTTTAGCTACTCACATCTTTCGAAGAACCTACCTACAAGTTGGTCCAAGTTAAAGGACATTGTCGAAGTTCTGAGATGGATAGCTAATTTGTTCGAAGGGGCGTACAAGTGGCAAACAGGGATGGCTACACAGAACAAACAGCGATCTACCTAGGTTTGGGCCCCCCATAGAGAGGTAAAACCCTACTCCTAATGCTAAGATGTATTGCACTGTGTGTCTGCCTGTTGGGCCCGTGGGACTGGGGGTACCCAGGCCCGTCTGCCTTCGGCCCAGGGCGAGACGCACAAGGGTTCAACCACCGGCCCACCAGCAAGCGCTACGAGCAAGACCCCTCACGAGGCCCCCACGCGAGGCGGTCTCCCGAGGCAGCCTCCCGACGCCCCCTCGCGGGGGCAAGCAGGTCAAGAGCTGCTCAGCATGTCGCGCGGCCACGTGCCTTCACGTAGGTGACGTGCACAACGACGAGCAACGCTAGAAGCCGTGCCAGCAGGCGCGGATGAAGAGGATTTCCCCTTTGGTGCTAGGGAGCAAGGCCGGCCCGCGGGTTCCCAAAGCAATCCCCAAAGGTTGCCTGGTCGGTGCAAGAAGACCAAGACGACGGACGCGCCAGGACGGAGGTCATCACCGAGCACACCGGCGCGTCACGGGCGGTGGCTTTGCAGACGAAGACCCCCCTTTTGTCAGGATAGACTGCGCCCCTGTCCCCCTTCAAATTGCCCTTCCCGCCAATGTTTTCGGGGAAGAGGACCAAGGCATATATAAAGGAAGGCAGGGTGTCGTTATAGAGGAGGTCGACCATTCTGGCTCTCCAGCCCTTGTACTTTGTCTCCTCCACCATAGCAATCCACAAACCAAGCAGGAGTAGGGTTTTACACCGCAAGGTGGCCCGAACCTGGGTAACTGTTGTGTCTCCGGCCTGCCCCCGCTAGCTCGCTCTCGCCGTAGCATCACCGTGGTTAGAAGCAGGAAGGAGTAGGGCGGTAGGAACGAGTGCACCCCAGAGTTCAAACCTCTTGGGTCCCTGGAGCCCCGATTTCGACATTTGGCGCGCCAGGTAAGGGTGCACCGCTGTTCTTCCGCTTCGTTTCGCCTCCTCCTTCACCAAGCTTCATGGCTGACGCTCGCCGCGAGCGCGCTAAGCGCCAGGCAGGGCGCATCGTCCAGACGGCGCCTATGGGCCACGACGGCCGCCGACGCCCTGCTGGAGCCACAACAGCTGCCGCCACCGACCCCGCTGCCCACGAGCAGCAAGACTCCTTCATGCACCCCTCCGTGCAGCCGGACGTCCGCACCAATACGGCCTCTTCCTCCCGCGGCCGCCGTGGGCCGCCGAACGCGCAGGCCACGCTGCTCATGGCGCGCGAGCTGCTACGTTACCGCTCGGCCGACGCCGGCTACGACGCCTGGCTTGGCCGCACCACCGAGCTCGTCCACGCCGCCCGGGCCCTCTCACTCGCTCCGCCCTCCGTCGTCTCACGTTGGGGACGTGGCCCACAGTGCGTCTCCGCCACCTACCCTGCGCAGCGACCTCGCCGAACCCCTACGCGCCGCCGTCAGCTCGAGCCACCTGCGGAGTGCCCCCGCCGGCCCGAGATGAGGCCAATTGCCAAATCGTCCACCGCGCGCCGCCTGATGCGCGTGCTCCTCGAGCAACAGCGTCAGCGCCAAGACCGGATCATCCAAGAAGTCGCAGCGGCCGGGCACCAGAATCGCGTAGCCCTCGCGCGCGGCGTTCCCTCAAGCAGCGTGGGCTGCCGGGCTTTCACCCGCGAGCTGCGCCGGGTGATCTGGCCTGTTAAGTTCAAGCCAGAGCTGCCCCCACGTTACGACGGCGTCCCTGGCCCCACGAAGTTTCTCCAGCTCTA